CCAAGGACATTGCACGAAGCTCCATCTCCACCTACCGCTGTGCAAAGCAGAACAAACGTCACGACAAATCAAGCTGCGCCTCATGGTCAAAACAGCACGTCGCGCGAGGATCCTCTCACTGAGTTGGACGAAATCCTTGAGGAACTCGCTTTCATAGAGCGTCGCATGCGGGCTAATCGTTCCGTTCTATCCACTCACTTTGCAGCGTTGGGACGAACCAATGACGAGACTGGTGAGATACTCCAAGAGATGGGTGTCCGTCAGAGGCGAATACGGGACATTCGCCTTCGATTACCTGTGGTGGTGGCTTCAGAGGCTGAGGATCGCGCTCAAGGGCAGCGGGACGCAGCCATTCAGGTATTTAGACGAGGACCTCCATCTGAAAACGACGAGGTCCGAAGTGACTGAGTGATGATTTCTAGGCATTAGGTTGTAGCGTATCAGTCCTGGAAAGGGACGTTGTACATATTACTAGTTGTTTTAGATAGTATAGCATAAGATGTTAGAGCGTGGTATGTATTAAATTAAGTATGTATCTTGGAATGAAATATGTCGAGTCCACAAGTGATCGATGGCCTGAATGACGATTAATAAATATTAAAGAGGATGAGGGACGGGGGACAACGAAGATAAAGGCAGAAGGGATAAAAATAATGCTCTAGCTCTTAGGTGCTTAGGCTCTTACTAGCATGCACGTAACACATATTTGTGGAGACGTGCAGATGGAATGAATGGAGAGTCGATGGAATCCATATTTAATATCTGCCAATAAAAAGGCACGATATATTGAAATTAATTGGATATGCCACATGCCACATGCATTGAGTGCCCCATAATTAACATGGAACAGTCTTGCATAACTCGATATTCAAAGTACAAAGTATATCTCATCATCACGACTCCATCATCATTCACTACCACCACTTTAGTACTTTGACTTCAACTTCAACTTTTTAACCTACTTCACATTCACTCACTCGCGCACCAATAGAAACACTACTCACATAAATTCAACACATCGTCTTCTATCTAAATCCGTCCATATTTGCTTCTTAATATTGGAATTACATGTGCATAGACGAAGGAAATACGAAGAGGAGGGGATAGCGGCAGAGTTAAGCGCGGGACAGACGCCACGTTACGCATAGACGAAGGAAAGAACATGATTTCTAGGAAGTCAACATGGATCCCGAGTCAAATGCGCCCCTGGAGCGATCAGTCTCACAGCTCTCTACCGCTTCCGCCAGAGTTTCTCGAAGCCACTCAACGCGCGCCAAATCCAAGCCTAGAAAGTTAATCTCCCAGCCCTCAAGCTCAGCTTCGTCCGTCGCCGCCTCCGACAAGTCTCTTACTTCCTTTCCCTCCTTCTCTCCCCAGTCCCCACGATACGAGCAATCCTTCACCACACCCGAGTCTAACACTTCCACCGTTAATAACGACAGCAATCCCTCCGAAGCCCCGAAGAGGATATCCATAGTCGAGAGTCTGACCTCTTCAGACACCCAAAAGAATGCGCGCAACGCTCTCTTCGACGATACCCCCTTGGCGACGCAGAAGATACCCGGTGCGATCCATCTCGCCAACGATGAGCACATCGAACGTCTGATCGCAAAGCATGGGGCTATTAAGCTTGTGCGCCAGCTCGCCGAGGACCTCGCACATCGCGACCACCAGATAGCTCGAGTAAGAAGAAGAGCAGACGAGCGAGAACGAGCTCTACGAAAAATATTGCTTGGATGCGGTCTATCGAATTTAGACCTCGAGACGAAGCTTCGTTCTGTTGAGGCAGAGCTACAAACTCGAGATAAGATCAAGAGCGCTCTAAATGGAGACGTTACGGGCATGATGAGTGATGCAATGCGCGAGTCTGTGTCACACGAAGGCTTAGGTATAAGCGGAGTAAATGATAGTACCGTCCGAGCCAGCGGTATATCTGCCGCAGGCAATAACACCGCCACGACCAAAGGTACCATGAGGGGTTGGAAAGACTACTTCTGGGGTGGTAGCAGGAAGGCTAGCAGAGCGGGAAGCATAAACGAAGAAGGGCCAAGAACGGTTATTCGTGCTTCAACGCCAGGAGATCGCCGACCTGCTCTTCAGGAAGACCTCTTCGTTCCTCCGGAAGCGGATTCCGCACCAAGCTCTAGTCGGGCTTCTAGCATCTACTCTGGACGAGGGAATAGGAAACCTTCAGCGTCATTTGCCAGTATGGCTTTTCAGCTGGTAGCAGGAAAGGCATCCTCGGTCCGCGATTCTGATTCTATTAGGGGAAGATCAAATTCAGCAGGCCAAAATGGTTCGGTAAGATCATCGTCTAATGCTAGCGCCAATACGGGTCTATCGAATAGAGCCGCATCCATACAGGGCGGTCCAAAGGCACTCATGTCGATGCGACGCGCAACACCGAAACCCCAAAATATACAGTATCTTATGCAACGCGAGAGACGAGAAGGCGCAGGGGCAAATGCAGAGGATCCGTCGGCATCTAGACAAGATTCTGGACCAGTAGAGATGGATACCATATTTTCTCCCGAAGGCCAACCACCGGCTCTATCGCAGTTGTATAACAACTACGGCGACAGCGAGTATCTAATCGATCGGTTTGGCTTTATTTACGATCAACGTCGAAAGAAGAGGCAGCGTGAAGCAGCGCAAGTAGCACTTCATATGAAAAAGGGACATGAGATGCTCTCAGGCGGGCGATCGAACATTTCTCCTAGTGAACTTGATGATGACACAACTTCATTTGAAGAGATTGAGAGGGAGGACCGTCCGGAAAGCCCCACCTCTATCGAAGGGTCGGTTGATCAAGGTAGGGCAAAACGATGGCAGGATTATCTAAAGATAGCTACTTTTCCAGCAGAGCTACTCTCGCATACCCCTTCCATCACGGCCCCGAATATAGAGGTACTTGAAGGAAACGAGCAACCCAAGTCACCAGGCTTGATCAATCCAGACGATCGCGGTTTTGTCCCTTCTGCGACCACTACCACCTCAGCTCCGGGTGGAGAGGTAAACCCCAAGCCAGAGGAAGAGGCGGCTACCGCCACATTGGTTTATGAAGATAGAGAGCCAGTAAAGCTTCTACTGAGGCAACTGAGCGATGTTCACGACGCTTCGCAGAAAGAAAAGAACATCCGCTGGAACGAATTTCTACGAAAAGTGCGGGCTGAACGTCGGCGTGAGGGCGAGGTGGCGGCTGCAAATGCTGCCGCCGCCGCGGAAGCTCGTTTTCAGGCGGCGCCTGTCATTAATCCCGAAGCCAAGCTCACGGATGGCGAGACTATTGGTTTCGCAGATCTTGGAATGAAAGGAAAGGTTGGGCGCGCGAAATGGAACGAATTCAGGAACTTGGTGCTGGGTGGCATACCTGTGGTGAACCGCCCCAAGGTTTGGGCAGAATGCTCTGGTGCTCTCTCTAAACGGACGCCTGGCTACTACAAAGACCTCGTTTCGCGACCTAGCGAAGCCGACGATGCGGTTGTGATATCGCAAATCGAGATGGACATCAACCGCACCCTTACCGATAACATATTCTTCCGAAAGGGGCCCGGCGTTGCCAAGCTACACGAAGTGCTTCGGGCGTATGCTAGACACAACCCCGAGGTCGGATACTGCCAAGGCATGAACTTGATCGCTGCGAACCTACTGCTCATCATGCCGTCTGCTGAGGATGCATTTTGGGTCTTTGTTTCGATTATCGAGCGAATCCTACCCCAGGGCTACTACGACCATAGCCTGATGGCATCCCGCGCAGACCAGCACGTCTTACGACAATATGTTCGTGATGTGCTCCCTAAGCTATCGCAGCACCTAGACGCGCTAAGTATCGAGCTCGAAGCGCTCACCTTCCAATGGTTTTTGAGCGTGTTCACGGACTGCCTGTCAGCCGAAGCGCTCTTCCGCGTCTGGGACGTCGTCCTCTGCATCAACGACGGGAGCACGTTCCTGTTCCAAGTCGCGCTCGCGCTCCTCAAGCTCAACGAGCGCCAGCTCCTGCAGTGCGAGACCCCCGCCGCCATCTACACGTACATCAACCACCAGATGACCAACCACGCCATTAGTATCGATGGGTTGATCCAGGCCTCCGAGGGCCTGCGAGGTCTCGTCCGCAGAAAAGACGTCGAAGAGCGGAGAGAAAGAGCTATCGAGGCGGATAAAGAAGTCATGCGCGAACGCGAGGAGCGCAGCGCCGCTCGACGCAATCAGAAAGCTTTGTCGGCGCCCGCGCTCGTCACTGAGGCTAGTGCTTCGGCTCAGCCTAGTCCTGCGCCGCGGCCGATGCAGGATGACAGCGAGAGCGGTAGTGTTGCCGATCTGAGCACCTTGGATCCCGGTGAGGAACGGGACTCCCCGGAGGCGAGCAAAATCGTTTCGTCTACGCCGGCGGAGGAGGAGGCGTCGTTTGGACTTGGGTGATTGATATCCCATGGTGAATAGTGACATTTAGGAGATTGGAAGAGGAAGAGATATTAAACGATTTATACCCAAACCGAAGGTGAAATAGACGGACCGGGCATCCAGATCAGATCAGAACAAATCATGGATCGCATAGATGTTATGGAACAAGACAATACCTAGTACCTAAGGGAAGCAGCAACAGAAGCATCGCGAGTTTTGGTGTCTGGTCGAGTTTTCTTTTTTGTATTGCATTAAATGGCATTGATACCACTTACACCTCACATCAAATTCATTTACATTGCATTGGACTGCACTTTGTCACTTTCCTGCCTTGCGTTTTTTCATGCATGCATAGTTAGGACGTGTTTTTATGCCATGTTATGTTATGATACCCTTCCCAGCCAGCACACATCATATATATATACTATTGTCAAGCATTAGGTAGGCGATTTATTAAGGTGAATAAAAATTTAACAGAGTGATAAGCAGAGGAATATGCATGTGAATGAAAGGGAAATAAACCACTATGCATAGGGTAAGCTTAGTCTACTAGTCCCTTTAATTGGGAGGTTAAAAAGTGAGAGAAAAAGCAAAAGAAACTCCGAATCGGGGAATCGAACCCCGGGCTTGACGGATCTTCTGGATCGAATTGATATTATTCGAACCGTGAGAGCGTCAAATGTTAGCCACTACACCAATTCGGATGTTGTGTTATTGGATGATAGTTTGCGCGGCTTTAGTGGTATATATGCTGCACTACTTTTGGAGCCGGCGTTTAAGCGCAAAACAAGCGTCTCAAGGAGATACGGTCTTTCGCTATACCGAAATACAACTTAATTCTCTCTCCTCAATTACAAGTGTATATACGAAAATTGCAATATCGAATTACGCAGGCTCTCTTTTAATATTCTCTTTTAGTGAACCAGCAAGTGGTGTTCTTGTTGTATCCTACCGTACCATATCTTACTTAGATGCACTAATGATGGTAGAGCATTCTCTGGCGTGTCTCGTTGATCTTGAGTTCATCCTGACACTAGCCTGCATCCTAATCACAGGGTTCGACTATGGAAAGAGCTATATAATTGAACAGGAAGGTTGCCCGAATAATCGTAGCAGCAATCATACATTTGCACAAGCGTAAAATGGCCTGTCACCCTCCCATTATTCTGATGTTTCTGTTTATACACAAGAGTCTCATCTGCGGAAACCCCAACATAATTGCAGCTATGTCTGTCCGAGTTTCTTTATGTGTGAATTCCGTATCATATCATGCAATGAGTCGACTTTCTCCAAAAAGAATATTTGCGAATGCGTCCTGAATCAAAATGTAGTCCAGAGCATCGCAATAGGATCATCGGTCTGGTGTGGGAGAATGCCGTTCCGCACACATCACCTAGAACAATTCCACCAACTCCTCAGCTTAGAGTGCATGCCATTATCAAGATTTCCCTTTCACTTTGCCGCACCTCGACCTCCCTCTTCAGGTGTTTGGCGTTATCGCGCAAAAACCTTGACAATCCCATCCCCTCCTCCACTGACAACCCATCGGCCATCTTGGCTCCAGACAACGGCGCACACGCCTTCTCCCCTCATAATTCGGTGGCTAGTGATCTCTTGGGTACAGCTTCGCTTCTCCAAAGACCAGAACCGAAGGCTTGCATCATGACCAGCAGACACGAGCTCGCGCCCGTCGGGGCTAAGCGATAATGATGATATTGAAGCCGGATGCGCGAGCATATTATACGTGCATTGACCTGAATGAATTAGCACCGTAGACCTAAAAAAAAAAAAAAAAAAAAAGGACCGTGCAAACTTACCACTATTGGCATCGAAGAACCTGATAAATCGGTCTTCGTGCCCAGAAATAATCACACCTTCGATCCCGCTACCAGCTGTACCGCTACCGCCAGTTGGGCCACCCGCATCCTCGTCGCCCAAGCCTGTTCCGGAACTTTGGTCGAGGCTAGCTGTGGTCGCGACGATGGAGTTTACGCTTGTGCCGATAGTATTGTCATAGCTATCACGGCTATCCATAGAGCCTATTTCTTCGCCGCTTCTTGTGTCGAACACAATGATAGTGGCATCTGAATAGCTAACTACGAATGTCTCTCCGGTAGGTGATAACGGAGTAATGCATGTTGGCGAAGCATGCGACCCATCAGAGCGGCGAATATTATGGACTAGAGAGTAATGGAAAGGGGAATTGGAAGCGATGTTTGGCTGAGGCGAGCTCGGGAATTGGGAGCCAGAACTCATAGAGTTGCCTCTTACTCGGCCGCTTCTTGCCGCTTGTCGGGGCGGACCTGGCTGCGGTGACGTGAGCTGGGGCGGTGCACTAACAGCCCAAATCTTCACATAACCGTCGGCTGCTCCAGACACGACTAGAATACGGTCTGGGGTGCCATAGGGGTTTGATTGGCCAAAGATGTTACCTAGTGTCGCAGGTAGCACGCAGATAGCCCAGACAGCATCACTGTGACCGTCAAGTGTTGCCTTCGGGTCTACCCTACCTCGTTCCCATACTCTGATAGTTGCGTCTTGTCCACCTGAGAAAATCCAACCATCGCCTTGGGCACGACCACCAGTGGAGAAATTAGGAGATGGTGACCATGATGTTAACGAAAGTACAGCACCGGTGTGACCACGGTGGGTAAAGTCGGCAGGTACGTCAAGATCGGATGATATACCTCCGGCATGACTAGGATTCTCACGCGGGATATGGAATCGCTTGATTAATCCATCGTCGCCGGCTGTGCAAATCTCGGGCTCGCCAGGACTTCCACCGCCGGAGAATATCACGGTGCGAACCGCATTGAGATGACCACGCAATCCAAACCGCAGCTTGAAACTACCACTTTCTGCTTTTTGCACATTGCCATTCAAAGAAAGCTCCTGGTCCGCACTCTTCCTACGAGACATGGAAGTCTTCCGCCTGTGGGATGCGGGGCCACGGTTAGGAGACTTAGGGAGATTTTCGGCATTAGGAAAGGCATCAGTGTCCGGTCGGTGAGTCAGAGGTTGCAGCTGCTGTGTAGAAGCTGAGTCGGAGAAGTTTCCATCGCCAAAATCCCACGCATCGCCATCGGTCGGACCGCGCTTCTCTTGTGGAGCTTCGTTAAACTCGGGGCGAGCGGATTCGTTCGTATGGTTTCGTTGTGCGCTCATATCTTCTTGCATACGAGCCGCGGGCGGACCGGAGGCAGACCATTCACCGGGGTGTGAATACATCGGAGCAGGGCCCTCCCCTGACCGAACCATGGGCGCGGATTGCAAGTCGGCGTTCTTTTGCGGGGGGAAGTTACCAGCATGCGCCTGCTGCTGCTGCATCATCGGTACGTGGTTGTTGTTTGCGCTCATTGCGCCTGGGCGACTACCTTGGTCTTTCACATGGTTCTGATTCTGGCTCAACCTTAACTGCTGAAAAGCTGCATCGAGAGGTTGTTGAGCAATGGGTAATCCAAAATCGCCTTCTCTTAGGTCATCGATCATAGGTAGAGGCGGAGATTCTCGGGGAGGCATGGGATTGGCGGGAGTAACCATTAAATAGGTAAATTCCGCTTGACATTGGTCCAGAAAAATCCGTAGGTTCTCGCGCTCCTCGTCTTCTTGGACTCGTTCGCCTAATAGGCCTTCCAAACCGGCGATTGCCTCTTTAGGTTTCTCGCTCGTCGCTACATATTGAAAGTTAGCTAGGTGGACGGGCTCGGAAGTGGTGGGGCCTCGGAGCAGTTAGAGGAATTCGGCCTTATACATACACTTGAGCTTCTCTTGTATCAAGGCGGCCCTGTCGATCTTCTGGGGCTGCTTCACGGAATGGTCGGTAGCAGAGGGTGTCGCGGAAGCAACTTTTAGCTGGGCAGCCTGGTCCTTGACTTTCTTCTCCAAAATGGTAACATATCTCTTGAGCGCCTTCTGGGTGGCGTCGGCTCTTCTAGCTGAACCCTCGAGAGCAGCTATTCTACCTTTCATCTCTTGACGTTCGATCTCCCAAGCGTTCCTATCTCTCTCGTGCCGATGCCATTCGGTTTGAAGAAAGCGCATAACGCCTATTAAGCGAGTCTAAGTCAGCCAAGGACGGTCCCAAGACAATAAATAGGCATGACTGAAGTATCAAATTGTACCTTGGAGTGTGTATTCGGTAGCATGGGGCTGATTTGACGGGTTGCCTCCGGACATATCCTGGCCGCCACCCGGCATTCCATTCCCTCCGGCTCCCATGACGGAAACCTGTTGCCAACTCATGGGTGATTGATAAATGATTTATCAAGTTGACGGTAATCAGCCCTCAGTACCGTCTACACCGTTCTATGTAGGGTCGGCTTCTCGACGTGCGCATTTGCGTGATAAGGAGCTTCGCGAGATACGTCCCTGTATCTGGATGGCGGATGCGAAGGTCGAATAATCAGTCTTGTAGGCGGGACCGGAACGAACGTCAATGTGGGAGGTTTTTCTCTCGCATATAAATCGATAATTAATTAATCGAAACGGCGCGACGGCCAAGGTAATAAAAAGAGTCCAAGATTGGTTGTCGATTAAAAAAATGACAGATGAAATAAGACGAGTAATGAGCGAAGAGAATCAAGATAGTTCAAGGAATTACTTGACTCAAACCCACAAATGCCACGCAGTAATCGAATCGCCAACTTTGCTGCAATATTCGCTCTTCTTCTTCGTTTCGTAGGGTGTCGTGACGCGTGGTTTGGTATCTCGAATTCGATCGGCGCCTTTTTGCAGATGGCAGAAAGTTGGCGAGATTCATTCAAGAAATGTGATGAATTTGGCAAGCTGTTAGTTCTCTTAGGTCGGCACCTGCTGGGCTGCAAAGGAGCGAAACCTAGAGTGGTACGTATTGCTGCACTCTGCTAAATTAGGTCATTGGCGCTAGAGTTTGGTGGATTTTGGCCAATCAGGGACCAGATGGAACGCAAGGCTAGAGAGATGTTGCCCCTGAAAGTTGTGCATCGTTTTCTGCCGCCAACGCTCGGCCACGTGATATTCATGGATGAAAAGAGCAAACACCTAAGCTCTAGGGAGCTAGAGCCACATCTTCTTCAAATTCCTTGTTGTAATACTTGGTTCACTTGAAATAACCACCTTATTATTATTCCAAATCTAACTCTATCCGCATGTAATCTAGGTGCATGGATATATTGCGCATTCGATTCCTTAACCAGTCAACAACATATTCAATTATTCTTTTTGACTCCATCTAGGATAATGAAAAGCTGTTGCAATGTTGGGATGATCAGTTCATCAGAACAGTGACTTGAAATATGAGATAGGAAGATTCATCAGCCACTTACAACATGTTTCCCCTTTTTTCTACCCTTACTCGCCATTAGATATTCTCTCAAACATATTAGCTTGTCCATATACTATGTAGGACTCATTAATTTTCTTTTTAGTTATTATCAGCTACCTTTCCGGACATATGGTGCGACATCTTGATATGTTTATGTAATTAAACAAAAGAACTTGCGGGGATAATCGTTAAAGATCGCTGGCGTGCCTCGGGCGCCACAACCGAGGTTCGTTTAGGCTTCTACTAAGCTTTAAGCTTCCCCAGCTTTTAGAGGACCGCTATCTCGCCAACCCTCGTCTTTGTTTATTTGTTTCTGCAGTACGTTATCCACCCTGAGTACCCTTATGATAATATAAGAGGCATGGTCCTTGATAATTGTCAGTTTGTCATAATTACTCCCGT